GCTATTGGGGTTATCACATGTTTTGTAAGAGTGTAAGTGACTACAGTAGTCATTTTTTTCTGCATCTACATTTATTTTAGTTTATGAGAGGGAGGGAGGGGGGAAATTGGGGACATGGGAATGGGGTTTAGCTAAAATATAAATTAATGAAGCAAAAAGGGGCCCCACTGCACCAACTATCATATATCAGCTGTCTTAAATTATTCACTGTTTGTTCAAAGCCAAAGGTTATGTTCTTATTAGGGGTGCTTCTCTCAATACTTGTACATAAAATCAGATTCAAAGCTGTCCGAAGGCACCCTTTTAAAGCATTCCACCAGGCAGTATTCAGCTATTTAACCATAACTAGTTATTTAGGCAAAAACTGCTAGTTAGATCATTAACAAGCATTCTTTTTATATTTCTTCCAGTAAAATAAATTATTGATATCATTGCTGACTTTTATATTATGGGAGGGAAAAAAAAAACAATAATAAAAAGGTGATAAAAGCACTGTTTCTATTTTTTTCTTTTTTTTCCAAAAAAAAGAAAGTAATAAAAACTTAAATTCTTTGTACCAGTTAAAAAAAAATGTATAAAATTTACATCTGTGCAGTGGAGTTGTTAAGTTCTAGAAATACACAGCCTATGATGCTTTAGATTTAGCCTAGTAGACCAACTGTTAGAGACAGACGTATCATTTTTATGGAATTATATGATAATCATATTCAGATTTATATAAGCATTTTACAAGTATTGCAATCATTGAGTAGAGATAATCATGGTATTTTCATCAGCTTGGTACTTTTTGAAACATGACTGTGTCGTGTAAACAATCTGCAATTTTTCAAGGCATGACAACTTGCCCCTGTTTAATTTTCCAACCAAGGCCACTTTGCTAAATACTGGGCCCAAGACAACTTTTCAACTGGGACAAAAGAGGGACCTTCTTCTGACCGAGCACTGCGTGGAGAAGGCTGCTTGTCTGGGTCTCTGGCACGTGCGGCTGAGCAAATGCCAGGGTGGCAGTTTCGAGCATAGCTGAAAAATTGCAGTTTGTCTGTGCATATGTTTGGACTCTTTCCATGTTGTCCTGTTTACAAGTTAACCTAAGTTGGGGTGTTTGTCACGGGTCTTCTTGTTTTTGTATTTAAATAAATAAAGCAGAAAACTGTCTTGCAACAGTTTTGCTGCAGATAGTTATATCCTCATGTGTAATGTGCGTGCCTACTGGCAAGCACTTTAGTAAATTATCAACTCACCGCTGTGAACCTGCCAACTTGCTATAACAACTCTGCTTTAAAAAAAGTGTTTGTGATCAGGCTTTCTCTTTGTCATCGTATGTGCATGCAATATGATCAGTTGAACAATAACCATCAATAAAGTTTCACAAGATTTGAAAACAAAGTTTCTGTAGCATTTATATCTAAGAATGAAAAATAAATTATCTTTAAAATTGAAACAGAGAGAGAAAGAGACTGTATTAACCAATGAAAAATGGGGCAGTAACATGTATTTATACGAGTGAGGGAATGAACTATAATTTATTAAGAGTTCAAACCCCACATTTATTATCTAAGATATACGAGACAAGCCTCCTATTTAAAGGAAAAAAAAAAGTATATTTCATTAAAACAGCAAGATAAAGCACCTTGAAAAATGTTTACCAAGTGTTAGGCTTCCAGTTCAAAATGTAGATGATACATCTTTTGGAATTGCACACACAAAGTGTCTAATGTGGAGAATAATAGAATTTATTTGCAATTTTAATTTTCATGAGATGGCTTTACAACTCCCACTCCCCAAATAATTATATGGCGTTTTAGTCTATTCAAATAATCTTGAAAGGTTGAGGGTGCAGCCCATATTAGAAACTATTTTGTTTATAAAGCTCCTACAGTATTCCTAGTAGCCATTTTAAAATGTATGTCTGAAATAGTTATGTAAGAAAAGCGTTTGAAATTTTTTTACACTATATATTGGGAATGTTTTCACTTATATAAATAACTACTGATAATATGACTTATGAAAAAAATGATTACTACCATCTGTGAAATATAGTGACTTCTAAACAGATTAAAAAAAAAAAAAAATACAAAAACCTACAAACCCAGAAAATGTGTATATCTGTCTTTAGAAATTAGTGTTTATATCACTACCGTGATTTGTGAATAAAGAAAAATGGTTTGTAATATCAAAATAAAAGCTTAGTCTGAAAAGGTAAAAATATGTTGGTGTTCAAAATCATTTTGCTTTTCCTTTTTTTTCCTCTTCGGATCTCAGAGCTGTCCTGAGCAGCACCTTCTGTGCTGTTAGGTGAGCAGGTGTGCCCTGGCAGGGCTCCTGCTGGGAGCTGAGGAGTGCAGCAGCTGGGCGGGAGTGTGTGTGTACGTGTGAGGGTCTGTGTGTGTGTGTGTGTGTGCTCACGTGTGTGTGTGCATGATGGGGCCTCGGGGGCAGTAACCTTGCAGCTGGCTCATGCTAGGTAGCTGCTTTTGTCACATGGCAGAGTGATGTAACTCAGTACGGCAACTGGGCTGAATGTCACCCCTCAGATTTATTCAGGATTGAGTGTATTTTTTTTCAGGCAACAGCGCATGGCATGTGAAGAAAGATCGTGTTTTTGGTGTTGCCTTTTAAAATGAGTGCATTTTAACAGGATATTTCTTATGTGAGAATCTCAGATATTCCATGAGCCGCCTCTGGCCTCTGAGGTGAAGCAGCTGTGGGGGCTCAGGGGGCCTGGTGTGTGTGGGTAGGTGGGTGGATGTGTTTCACTCTTCGCTCTGGCAATGGAAGCTGGTGTGCTGGGCTCCCATTGCCTGCCCTTCTCATAGACAGCTTCTGTGCCTGTTCACGTCCAAGTGCAGAGAAGGAAGGAAAGAAAACTCTGCTCATCTTAAACGGACAGTGGTATTTCTGCTGTTCCACAAGGCTTCTGGTTGTCCCTCCCAGGTTTGTAGTCCTTAGGAATGACAACAACATCCGTGTAGGTCTGTGCTCACCTGTCAGGTCCAACGCTTGTGATGAGGCCAATGTGTTTCATCATTTATGCTACAAGAATTGTTTCACTCTTCTGCCTGGGTTTCCATTATGTTGTGAATTAGGAGGAAAAGAGAAGACCTAAAGATAGGGGATAAAATACTGCATTCTTTGCAGTTCACAGCAAGCTTTACTCTAAAGCATGTTTCGATCCTTCTGAGAAGGTGAAGAAATAGACCTCAGTGTGTGCCAGCAATGGTGGGGAGGTGTTATCTTATGCTTGCTTGCTTCATATCTTTGTACAAAATATGAGCACTAAATGCTCAAGTATATGCCACGCACAAAGGATATATTGGCAATGTTTCTTTTGGTGGCTGGACAAAATGACAAAGGCAGTAGTACTGAGAAAGATTTGGGCTGAAGAAAGGTGAGAAGTGTGTGAATAGATAAGCAGGAGTGAGATGAACACACAGTACCTGAAGCACCCTGTAATTCGTGCCATTGGATTCATCTGCCTGTTGCCCAGTATCAGTACTTTACAATTTAAAGCAGTAGCGCTTCCTTTCTTGGCCAAATAGGCAGCATGTGGTAAATTAATGAAAATGTAGATTTATTGAGGAATTGGCTCAAGAATAAGCAGAATATCAAATGTAACAACAACAACAAAAAAGCAATAAATTGTTAAGGGTATTTTTCCCAATTATTCCCAATTATTTGGAATTGTAGTGCAGCTTTCACTGCAGACCATGCGGCAAAGATCAGGTTTAATATTTTTATGAAGTCTCAAAATCACCTCTCTAAAGGGTGTCCTGCACTGCTCCATCTTTGATTGTCTTTAAGTGCATGCAGGCCATATATTAGCTATGTATTTGAGTAAAGCATGATGTTTTTAAGCTAGAATTTTCTTTTACTCCTTGGAAGAGCTACTTGTCTTCAGTGTGAACTGCTATTGTGTTGCATTGCTCTTCCTTGAGTGATTTTTTTTTTTTTTTTTTGTTGTACACAAGATTTCTTCTCTAAAGCAGAACTGAAATACCATTTTGGTAGGCAGAAGGGAGTGAAGAAAAAACAAAGAAAGAGCAACCTTGTTTCAGTTTGAAGGTAAGATTTGAGTGGGAGGTGAGATGAGAAGGGAGACAGTGATTTTGAGAGGTCTGTGAAGAATTTATGAAAGTATTATCAAAAACAATATCGTTACCAGAATTATAAAAGTTTGTTGTAATGCTTTATTCCTTGCTAAAGGGCATAAGCTTCCTTTCACTGTAATGTGAGCTCTATTCCAAGTCTTTCTAGACTGGAACTTGAGTCTTTATAATATGTAACTTTATTCACACAGTGACGGAGATGTTTGGCTTTTATCTGAAAGAAAATTTGTTTTCTGGCAGCTTTTATGACTCTCTATCACTTCCCTAGTGCTCAGCATAGCAAGAATTGTCTTGCAGCACTGTATGAAGTGTACATGAACAGATTAGCATCAGAAAAAGCCCGTGAAGGCATTTCCTAAGAGGAAAAAGGCTAAAATCCATGAGCTTGTCTGTATTTTCATACTTGGAAAATAAAGGTTTTTATTTTGTGCTGGTTTGTCTTAAATTTGTGGATATGTACCCTATATCCACACAATGGATGAATCTGATGCAGTGTTCATGTCGTGTGACAGTGAAGTGTTCCTTCTGTTTCCGATGACACATGTTGACTTGTTGTAGGGTCCTGTTTCCAAGAGGTTTATAGCTGAATAGCTGAGCTGAGGAGAAGCTCGTTGTGTTTAAAATAGTTTAGAATACTCCTGTCTGCTTCTCAGTACTACATATGGACTAGTTTAGCCTGCTTTCTGTTAGCTTTGATTTACCCATGTATTGCACTGAGAGCCTGCATGCCTGACCAATTTAATGATTCCATTGTTTAGCAAAAGACTTATAAGTCAGGAGTTCAGTAAATAGGAAAACTGTTAAATAAAACATAAATGAATGCAAAAATAGTCATTTAATGGACATTATGAAAGGACACTAAAAACCAAACAGTTCAGTCCAATGGATGATGTA